TTGATGTCCTTGACTGCCACGCCGCTTCGTCGAAGTCGCTGCTTTGAAATGGCCCGTATTTTTCGAGTGGTCGAAATTCCGGGCAATTCGGAGGATTCATTAGCCAGGGGACAACATCGATCTTGTTGGCAGCATACCACTCCAGAACCACCTTAGAGTAGTGGCTGCTGACCAAATCGGGCCAAAAGATGACTTTGCCCCTATGCTTGCGGATGAGCAGCAATACATGCTTTTTCAGGCATTCTTCAGGCATTCTTCGATGTAAACTTGGGATGTCATCGTCGAGGATGTGACGAATGGTTCTGTTTTCAGGCCACAACTGGAAATCGCTTGCCAAATCATGGCTTTCATCGTGAACTTGTCGGTAAACACGAACTTGAATCTTCCCGGCACATCCCCACGTCCAGTCGTGATGTAAAACTTTTGACTGGGAAGCTGCTTAAAATCGAGTTTGAGTATGTTTCGTCATCGATCAAAGTGCAACCCTTGTTTTTCGTCAAAACACGATCGTACAAGAGCCTTGCACGCTTTTTGCCCACGGAATTCTGCTTCATGTGCCGGTTCGGATGTTCACTAGCTTTGTACGACTTGTATCCTTCCCTGGTAAGGATCCGCACCGTTTGAAAGTTGGCGTTGTACCTTCTGGCCACATCTCGGATCGAAAGACCGGGGTTGGCTTTAACGCACCTCAACACGATCACTCAGAGTTTCCGGGTAGGTGTTGATCACTCGACAAACTGTTGTTTTCGGCATCTTCAGCACTTTACCCAGCTTGGAACCGGACCACTCTGGATTTTCCAAGTGTTTGTGCACAATATTTTTTGCTTCTTTCTAGTTCCATTTGACGTTATTTCTGAACGCGATCGACTACTTTGAGCAAACTTGCACCAGTTGTTCTCTATAGAAGTGTAAACAAACCACTGTCAAAGATTTTCGATTCACAACCCCAGAGGTGTGCTAACAGCGCGCGAGGGGCGTACCAATTTACTTTTAGTCAGCATTTAGATCTTATGAAGAGGGAGCCGGGATAGTAGTAGATTTTTTTTTTTTTTAAGAACACTAAAAGAGATTTGAATAGAACTCCGAGGCATTTGTATGCGTTCAGAGGAGAATCTTTAGGTAGTTCTTGTGGAATATCCATAAAGATTGTGAAGAGGATTTCAGGTTCTTTTCTTATGAATATTCAAAATAAGTTCTGGAGAGAATTGTAAAAATGTTGTGATGGAAATTACAAGGTATTGAATTCTTAGAACATTAAGATAATTTCAAGTGAATTCCAAAGAGAGTTACAAGGAAATCTCGCGATAAATACCAAGGGGATTGCATTTTGAGGGAACAATGAGAATTCCGAGAAGAATTTCTAGATAATTCGAAGGAGAAATCCAAGTCAAATGCTCCAACATGAGCAAAATGGTAAGTCAATTCTGAGGAGATTCCAGGCTAATTTTAAATAAAATTATAGAAGGAAGCGTCAGAGAACTCTTTCGAAGCAAATCTAAGGATGAATTTCTCAAATTTTAAAGCGTTCTAAAATGTTGTAGGGGAAAGTGCGGCAGTTTGGCCACCTTAAGAAAATCATCACTAATCATACAAAATTCAGTGGAAAATCCGAATGATGTTTACAGTGCTGTTACAACAGGCGCGGATTTCGCGGATTTCACGATTTTCGCGGATTTGTCGCGGGCTTGAACTTTCAGTTGCGAATTTCGCGTAAACATTAAATGATGTCGTCAAAATCGCGAAGGGACTGTTGTGCTGTCATAAAAAATGTGGAATTTATTGTAACCTTTCCGTCCCGGATTATTTGCTGTCATCAATTTTGTTGTTCATTTGGCTCTCAAATTTTTACCGGTTCAAACCAAACACCCTGCAAATAATCGAGAAATGATCTCAATTCCATAAGTCATACCGGATTTACACGGAAAAATCCTTGGAGTCTGTCCAACGTGAGCCATTTTCATGTTTTAAATTTTATTTCCATTATGAACATAGCACTTTTTGTTGTCAAATCATAAACGAATCGTATACATGCGAGTAATTGACATGTATACCGGATATTCTAGGTTCTCCAAATCGTCCTAGAGTTCAATTGATTTGTTCAACTATATTAACCAAGACTGCAATAATGTCTGTAGTATCGAAATATGTCCAAACAGATTCAAAGTGTCTATATGGATCGTGTCCGACCTATTGCTACGTATACAAGATGTTATAGGTTCTGAAATCATTCTGGAGATTAGATTATTTTTATACTAGATTATCCAAGACTAATTCAATATCTGTAGTATCGAAATATGTCCAAACAAATTTGCAGTGTCTATGTGGATCATGCCAACCTAATTCCGTGTATGCCAAATGATCTAAGATTTACAAATCGATATTTCGATACTACAGATATTATCCTAGTCTTTGTTGATCTAGAAAACAAATCATCTGAAGTGCAGGACGATTTGGAGAACCTAAAACATCTGGTATACATAGCAATAGTTCATGTATGATCCACATACATACTGTGCATCTGTCTGGAAATATTTCGATACTAAAGACATTGAAGGCGATTTGAAGAACCTACAACATCTGGATTACTCGGAAATAGATCATGAAATGATCCACATAGACACTATGAATCTGATTGGACATTTTTCGATACTACAGATATTATTACAGTCTTGGTGGATCTAGTAGAACAAATCAACTGATGTCCTGGAAGATTTGGAGAACCTATAATTTCCGGTATACATAGTAATAAGTCGTGCATGATCCTAAGAGTCACATATATACGATTCGGATATGATTTGACATCGAAAAGGTTCATATTAGAAATAAAAAAATATCATGAAAATGTCTCACCATTGGACAGCAGAACCCAAGGAATATCCGTGTAAATACAGAACTGCGACGTGACCAACAATTGTGACTTATGAAACTCTGGTAATTTCTCGATTATGTGCAGGGTGTTTTGTTTGAATCTGTAAAACATTGAGAAAACAAGAGCCAAATTAACTAGAACATTTAGGACAGCAAAATACGTCAGAGACGCAAAGGTAATTTTCAAAAAAAAAATTGAATTCAAATGAAAATTGGCAAAGAAATTTCGATTATCCCACTAATTCCCAAGTTAAATTTTTCGCGTTTCTATAGTTCACCCGATCCGACGCTGCTTCGCGTTTATCAGAAAATTGGTTCGAAAAAGACCCCCTATTTTCACCTCTTCCTCTTAGGACAGCAGTAGGTCTCTTTTCCTGATTCAAATTGCAATAATCAAACGTCATCATTACCTGGGTTTTGTCAAAATAGGTTAATAAGTCCGTTGCTTGCACCAAAGAATACGAAAAACTCGATTTGATTTGGTTGCATAATGGATCCTAATTTTTTTAAGATTTTCCTTTTTTTAATCTCTAAATTCGATTTCCAGTAATTCAATAATAAAGTATACCTGAAACAACTGGAATCATAAAATTTACATACAATAATAAAGAATATGATAATAGATAATTCTAGAGTACAAATATTTATGGAATTGCTAGAATTACTGCTTATCTTTAAAATTACCAAATTATTTTCCAAGCAGTAGGAATTACTGAAATTACCCACAATTATTTTTTTTACATAGAAATTACTGGTTAATTCAAAATTTACTCATTATTTTAATAATTTGTGGTACTATTTGATTACCGATCACCTTACAAGTTTGGTAGAAACCCCTCGTTTTTTTTACCAAAGCAGCTGCTTCAAAACGTGATTTCATATGATACAGTCATATTTATGCAAAATTAAAGAATTTAAGTTGAAATATCAGTGGTGCTCATATTGTCCCGAATGGACGTAAGAAATATTTATGTTAAGAAAATCTTTAATGTTTATTAAATTCTAGAAAAACATCAAGTCTTATACGAAACCAATAACCATTTATAAAGCTGCTAAAGAAATATCAACGATAAGTTATCGGAAATTACTTATTTTCTGATTCAGAAATCTTATAACAGTTTTGGCATTTTGAGCTAGTCTAACATTTTTCGAATATTTCAGTGCTAACATTTGAAAACGGCACAAAAGCCATTTGTAAACAAATGGTTTGTGGGCCCTTTACTCACTACTTGAAGTACACCCACGCGACACAACAGCAACATCGGGTAGGGGAAATTTTCCCCTTCCTGACGATGCTGTTGGTTTGCGTGGGCGTTCTTCGGGTAGCGAGTAAAGGGCCCACAAACCATTTGTTTACAAATGGCTTTTGCGCCGTTTTCAAATGTTAGCACTGATTTGCTCTAGAGAAAAGTATTGTGTTAGACTTAAATTTATTGGATAGTTAAAGTAGGCTTCAAGCATAAAGCCTACAACAGATATTTTTGTAAAATATGTTCAATAAGTTGATTTTTTAGCGGGTAGCCATATTGCCCCACTTTCCCCTACAGAAATTTTCAAGGGACTCTCAGACAGCATCTCAAATTAATTTTAGAGAAACTCTGTAATGAACTCTGTTAAGCGAATTAATCTAAAGAAAATTGGAGATCATTTCATGAAAAATCGTGGAAAGAGTCCTGAGCGAACTTTTTTAATGTAGTTAAAACATAAATCTTGATGACTTCAAACGACTTTTTTTTCCGAAATTTTGGTAATTTCACGGTTGTGCATTATACATTTAAATTAAGCATATAACCGAATGCGATTGACCCGAAGAGATCACTCAGTTAAATAGGTTATAATTTAGAAAGCAGATTTTTTCCTGGCTCAAAACAATCGCGAAAATTACCAAAATACCGGGCACAAATCGGAATGTGCTGGGCACCACGTTTTAATATAATATAAGCATTAGGCAAAAAACGACCACCTTTGCATTTGAAACTACTTGCAAGACCAAACATCCAGCTTCTCCGATTCGCCTCGCTACCAGTCCAGTCCAGCAGCAAGCAGTGCCCACCTTCATTGCATCCTATCCTATCCACGCGTCCATGCAGCAACCTAAATAAATGCAATATAGTGCAATTTCATCTTTATAGGACCAACCGTCGTCGTTGCTGCAGTGATCCGAGTGTGAACTGAGTTTGCGGGAAATTAATTCAGGTTAAATGGTGGATAAGTTTGTGGAATGAGCTGCCGTGGAGTCTGAGAGTGCTGCTGTAAGATACTAAGAAGAAGAAGAAATAATTCAGCCAACGGCCAAGAAAGTCCGCACACATTGAGTGAGTTAGTGAGTGTACGAAAAGGGAAACATCTCCAAGAGTGATGGTGGTGATGCTGAAATGTGAATGATTATGATGATGATGAAGATAATGTAAGATAAGGTGGCGTTTGCAGATGAGGCAAATTAAAAGTGTCGGCTGGAAAATAAGAAGAATTACGCTGCTAATGTTATCATTGGAGACGCGGTTTTGAAGCAGGCCTACGCTAAATAAATATTAGGATAACCAGAGAATCACTGAATTTGAAGGACCCGAAGAATCCCTGAAACAGGAAACTTTAAAAGCTTTCGGTAAGTAAGGACGGAACTTATATGATTATTGATTAACCGATTAACGATTTTTTTTTCTTTTCAATCACTCGATATTGAATAATACACATATTGGCTTATCTAATACGTATATGACATTGATTTGATCAATATTGTATACCTATGTCTTACATACAAACATCAATAACTCGTTATAATTCAAACGGTTGGGATTACATTGCCATGACCGTAAATATTGGGTCAGCGATTGTTTACACCCAATCATTGAGCTATTTCTCGTACGCTAGTTTCCCTTCAATCAAACGCATCGTTCGTTGCAAGCAGCGGCGAAACTCTTTTCGATTCAAACTCTGTGCCTGTTTGGAATTCACATTTCAATGAACACAACATCTCTCGCGCACGCGATGGTCCTACTCCGGTAGATAGTTGTAGGAACCTACATAGAGTGGTGGTGGTTGGATTATCTTCATTCGATTTACCTCATCATTCGCGGTGATACCAATCAATGAGTTCGTACGTAATTGTCGGTACCGTATAATACGTTCGTGCGACATTGTGCCACACTTTGCCTTTTTTTAAAATGTCTTAGCGATGATTGCGCGAATCACCCCGATGAAATCGGACGTGAATCAGCGGTCAATCAATAATTTGATTGGGAAAACTGTACAGCTGGCAAGCGAAAGTGTGTGAGAGAGTGAGTTAAGGTGCTTGAAGGGTGATTGCGACATATTGTGAGCAATTATAACACTTGACTTTTTTGCAGGTTGCATGACTGAATTCTCGCGTCACTTTTCAAATAGACCAATGTAACATATCCACCATTTTGAGAAAATCGAAGTTGAAGTTCGACAGATTATTATTTAAACTGTTTAGAAACAATACATTTTGCAATACTATTTTTAATGGAGTCAGTGAATAATAACGTTGAAAATTCAGTAGAAACGATAAAATCACAATTTAACTTTGAATTTCATGCTACAACATAGAAAAAAACCACATACGACGTTTTGACAAGTCGCGTTGTACATCGGACATGTTACATTGGACGATTTTTCTCACTGACATAATCAATTAGTGTTACATTGGACGTTTTGATCTACATGATACTAGATTCCCTTTCACAGATTTCATAGTAGAATACCTAACTTTAGATTGGCCCCGCCTTTAGGAAACGAGCACCAATCATGTTAGGCAGTCCGAATGACCGAAGTAACAATCATGTACCCATCATCATCAACTTTACATTGGACAATTTTTGAGCTAAGATTTTCTCAAATAAATGAAAGTTAATTTGGATGGGTGTTTTTGTATCACATACAATGATAGAAGAGCAATAGTTTGTATCGCTTAACTCGATTTGTTTACATTTGTTACATTGGTCTATTTTACACTTATTCATACCTTTCTACTTCCTATGATATCACAGTTGAAATTTTATTTTTCTTGAATTTAAACAAAATGAAAAGGGGTTAGAATAATTCTGTGGAGTTTCCGCTAGTTCTCTTAAAATGGAGATCAAGAAATGAAAAGGAACTGATTACCAACTGGAACGCAAGTTTCATTACTAGGCATTCTAATTAGTCCCTCAATCCGAACGTTTCAATGACTCTCAAAATACTCGAATTATCAATGAAATGTCTCAGTGTTTACCTTATCTTACCTTTCCTGGTCCAACGTCTTCGGTGGGACCTCACCTGCTGTACAATGTTACACCAAATAACTTGATTCGTAGCTGCTTGTTTCCTGTTTCTGGAGTGTCCCGCATTTCCTAGTTCTTTTTACCCTTCTTACAAAGAAGGGTATAGATATCACTTGAAAAACCGACTATCGATCCGAGTCCCGGAGGGCCGAGTGTCATATACCATTCGACTCAGCTCGACGAGATCGGAACATGTCTGTGTGTGTGTGTGTATGTAACGAAATGAATGCGCTCACGTTTCTCAGCAATCGCTCAACCGATTTGGACAAACTCGGCGCCAAATGATAGGTCTTGGGGTCTCATTGAACGCTATTGAACGGTTTTGGAATCGGTGAACCGGTTCCGGAGATATGACCGGAATAAGATCCGGTGAATATGGACCTTCACGCTGGATTTAACGGAAAACGTATCAAAACCATCATATACCATTCGACTCAGCTCGACGAGATCGGAACATGTCTGTGTGTGTGTGTGTACGTGTGTATGTGTGTATGTGTGTATGTGTGTATGTGTGTGTGTATGTAACGAAATGAATGCGCTCACGTTTCTCAGCAACCGCTCAACCGATTTGGACAAACTCGGCGCCAAATGATAGGTCTTGGGGTCTAATTGAACGCTATTGAACGGTTTTGGAATCGGTGAACCGGTTCCGGAGATATGGCCGGAATAAGATCCGGTGAATATGGGCCTTCACGCTGGATTTAACGGAAAACGTATTAAAACCATCATGCGACACATCAAATTACTACAGAATTTAAAAATAAGATCAATGCAAGTCGTGTTAAGTGTTCCAGACCACATTGGACACACTTGGACATGTTCCGGGTACCCCGGGGAAGTTCCTTGAATATGAATTGAATTAAAACCCATTAAATCACATTAAAATACGATGATAAGGTGATTGGTAGCCTCACCAAATAGACTACACCCGGATATATTCCGGGTACCCCCAGGCAGTGGCGTAGCGTCACTGGATGACACGGGGGTGGGGGGCTTGGTCACTGATAATGACAATAAAATAAATAAACTTGAATAAGTAAGAAGGGTCTGATCACACCATAGGTGGATAAATTCGGGTTTTTTCACTTGGTCTGACGGTTTCTGAATTTCTCATAAGTGATATTGGCACATGTTTCAAAAAAAATGTGCTGCAAGATGAACATAATTACCCTCAAGTAAGGGTTTAGTCAATGTATTGTGTATTTATCGTTATTTTAAAGGTTTTGTTCCGATTCAATTGTATTGTCGATCGCGACATGCTTCGCATAATCGAGTGAAAATAGACAAGTGAATATGCTGAGTCACTTTCAAGTATATTGACAGGTACCTAGATATACCAAATCAATCCCAGCTTTAAACATAATTGTGATACTATTCAGGTAGAGATAATTACTATGTTTTAATCGATCGATGTTATCCAAATGGGTAGAATCTTAGCCGCAAACAACGCACTATCTGATTTTAGATCTTATTGTTCAGTATGTGAGAACGTTTTTCATATTCTCCCAGTTTCTAGTCTGTTTCGTTCTGCTGTTGGTGCCAGTTCCGAGTCGATTAGCAGATATCTGTTAGCTAGAATCAACACCCGTTCAGTTATTTGTTAGCATCCAAGCAGATATGTTTAAGTATTCAATCAAAAATTGAAGTAAGTGTAAGTCGCAATACTTTCTAATCCTAAAGTACACCAAAGTAGTTTTTGCTCAGGCCTCAGCGCTATGTTACATTCAAAATTATCCATTTTTATTTTGACTGACCTGCGCGACGGGAATCTGGGTGATTATATTTTGCGCACTGCTTTGATACTTACCTTACCAATCAGGCTAAGGCCTTGTTGTCTTCTGCTGTCCGAAGAAGTCGTCTCCACTCTACTCGATCCATGGCCACACCCGCCTCGTAGTCTGCGAAGGGTCCGCAGGTCGCTTTCTACTTCTACATTTTCACTAGGTCGTCGTGCGGCATTCTTACGACGTGTCCAGCCCACCGTAGTCGCCCAATTTTTGCAATGTGGACGATGGATGGTTCTCCCAGCAGCTGGTTCATTCGTCTCCTCCACGTTCCGTCATCCATCTGCACTCCACCATAGATGGTACGCAACACCTTCCGTTCGAAAGCACCAAGGGTTGGTCCTCCACGAGCATAGTCCAGGTCTCGTCGCCGTAGAGGACCACCGGTCTAATCAGCGTTTTGTAGATAGTCAACTTCATGCGGTGGCGAATTTTATTCGACCGGAGCGTCCTCTGGAGTCCAAAGTAGGCCGTATATCGGTCACCAGTGAGCCCAAATACACGAACTCGTCACCGTCAATCTGAACTCGGGGATGGACGCTATCATTGTCTTCCCTAGAACCTCTTCCTCTCATGCATTTCTACTTCGATGCGTTGATGGTAATTCCAATCCGCCTAGCTTCAGCATTCAGTCTGGTGTATGTTTCCGCCATCGTCTCAAAGTTCCGTTCCATGATGTCGATATCATCGGCGAAGCCAAGAAGCTGGATGGACTTCCTGAAGATCGTGCCATTCGTATGTCTATCCCAGCTCTTCTGAGCACACCTTCTAACGCGATGCTAAATAGCATTTTTACCCATTCCGTCGTAGCTTTTAGTTTGCACGGCGTGCTGATTAGCGGGATTCAAATTAAAAAGAGTTCAGTGAATACGGTCGTGAACACGAAATTGAAAAGTAGCATCTTTGACTTCGACAGACATGTAGGAAATAACTCTTTAGAAATCTGCAATCTCTTTGCAAATTTCTTCCAAGAAGTATACACTACATTCTCCAAAGAGGACCGCGACCGGGACTAATTAGCATTCATCCCTGAATTTTCAAATGACATATCTGTCAACCAACTATCTCAACAAGAAATTCTCAAAGCAAACGCATCTAAAGGACCAGGATCTTATGGGATAGCACCTGTATTCCTGAAGAATCTTTCAGAAGAACTCTGCCTTCCTTTAGAACGCCTTTTTAGCATGTCTTTGAAAAATTCAATATTTCCTGAAATTTGGTAAGCCTCTTTTTTTGGTGCCTATTGTCAAATCTGGCTCGAAATCTGACATCCAAAATTACCGTGGAGTTGCCATTATTTCTTGCATTCCAAAACTTTTTTAATCTATCATAACGACAAAATGTATCAAGAGTAAAAAACCAAATAACAAGTCAACAAGCATGGCTTCACGGGCCGCACCACTGATTCTTAATCTTCTGGAGTTTGTCTCTTTTACACTGAATGCCATGGATAATGGTACTGACTTCAGTAAAGCATTTACAACAGTATCGACATACCATTATTACTCTTCAAGCTGCAGAAAGTAGGAATGGAAGCC